ACAGCTGCTGTGTTCTTGGATATCAAGGAAGCCTTCGACACACTGTGACACTATGGCTTACTGTATAAATTTTCTGAATTAGAATTTTCTTAAAAGTCTCATTAAGCTAATGACATCCTTTTTCACTTACAGAAAATTTAAATTTTTGGTAGAAGATGAATTTTCTATTCCAAGAGAAATAGTGGAAGGTGTGTCCTAAGGTTCAGTCCTAGCTGAAGTATTGTACAGTCTATGTACTATAAATGACACCCTTGCTGCATCTGGTATGTTGCGGCATGATAAACATATGTTTCCGTGGCAACAGATACTGATGCAAACAACATAGTATGTGGTGCTTTCTAAGACTCCATGACTAGGCAACTGCACGGTAAACACATTTTCTTAGCAGTGAATGAACAGGCAACAATACAGGACCTCTTGGAAGCAGCGTTTTCTGTGTCGTACGTGCTGAAATTATATAACATGCACCAACGGCCGTACTGACCGCAACGTCTGACGCCGTAGATGTTGCACCCCAGCAAGTGCGACTGGCATATTTTACAGCCCTTTACGGAACACATAGGTTTAGGTCTACTGTACACTGCTGACATAATTTCAATATTCCATTAAGCCCATATATTCAAAATTACCAACATACAACATGACTGCATATAGGTACATGCATAAATCATACAATTCAACAACGAACACAACAGACATGAAACAATCTGATGATGTGACAAGGAGACTGGCACAGCGATTGCACTATAGACTCGTACTCACAAGGTGCTTCATTTGAGTACCGGAGGGGAGACCGCCTATACTGACTAACTCTCTCTGGACTATTCTTTAGTTGCTGTAGGGTAAAATGTCACAACTTCTCTGTTTAAATTGTTCCAAGTTCACCATTTATCAAGCATTATTCCAACCGATGCTACATAGCCTAAGATACTAAAGGCATCGTAAAATAAGCCCTAAATAACACACACTCACAAGAACACTCACACACTTGTAGGATACCAGTACATTCTAAAGGTTTCTGGAATCGCTGGATTTTTGGGCTTTTTCCAGCGTCTGGGTAGAAACAGTTCTAATGGACCGAGCGGAATAGTCGTATGCTGTGAAACAGATCCAGTTTCTGGAAGGGTATATTCTCTATTTTTTTTAATACAGGACAAGCGTTGCGTAGTACAGGATGAGTGGGGATGTGACGTGGCTCTGTGGCTCAACGTTTCCTGCATAGAGCAAATACGTCACAATATACATTCATATATATACGTTCTCTATAGTTATTCCCGTTCATCCCCGATAAATGGCGTTAATAGTAGTATTGTAAAAGAGTCAGTTCGGGAACTTTACTTTCACACTGTGTAGGTTACCAATTTTACTCTGAATATTTCTGATCAAGACTCAAGTCAGTAACCTTTTCTTTTCTTTTCCATGTGTTAAGTCACAGGCTTCTAGGTCACGATCAGAGTCTCACTGCTGTTCCATCTGTCTCCTTTCTGGTTTCAAATTTCACATTCACCAAATTCAGTACTGTTATTTCGTAGTCCATTCTTTCCACGCGGCTCGGCATTGCCTTGTACTTGTCAGCCCTTCTGCTGCATCAGCTACACCAAACAGGTGTTTCGCTGCGCACAGCATGTGTACATCATGTGACATAAAATTTATACATTTTAAAAAAGTTTCTGAGTGAGGGGGATCAGAGGTCTCCAAAATAAAAACTTCCATTAATAATTACTAACTCAGATCCCTGGTGTTATTTATTTTGTACTAATTAATATATGTATAAAACTAAAAGGCACACAATTCAAAATACACTTCTTTGAAGAAGAGAAGCTTTGCTTTAGTCTGATGGGAATATGGGGTTTGTTAAACTGACAGACCAGATGCGAGTCACTGCCCTCGTATTGTACTATCCCAATGTATATAACAAGAGAAGCCAGACTTACTGACCCATTGGAGACAAATTTGGTGTTCACAATTTCAGGAGCCTGGAAGAGACATGATATTGACGTCACACATATTTCGATCCACGCTTTCCATGCAGCGAATTTATTTTTAACATTTAAACCACCTGACAAAAATAGCACATAAATTCCTACTTCATGAATGCGCTGAATGTAAAATATCATGATAAAAGCGATCCTGGGGCTTTTCATACTGTAACGTGTTTGGGTGACTGGAGACCGACTTTGGATTGTTAATTGGTTTTATTTACAACCTACAGGTCGTAACTACAATTACTTATTACACTAATGCGGATTTACACAATTTACAACATGAGAGCTATACAAATCTCACTAAATTACACACCCCAGTCTCACTGCACTATAGCACACACACAGTCTTGAAGTCACACAGTAAGTCCTCACTGCTGACTTTCTTAGCTTTCACTCACTATCACATATTACACATCAAATCTTCCCATCACACTTTACATCCTCACACACCAACCTCAACTATTCTTCTGTACTCCGCTCGCATTCCTCTCTCGTTAACGTGTAACTAACTCTGACTGCTTTCTTAATAATTCCAGTTTTTCCTATAAACCCTCAATCCGAGAAGTGGAAGACGCAGCTTGCTTTCTGTTGCGTAATCACTGCACTCACAGGAAACATATGTCACGTGATGAGTGACATCCCGTCCACGGACGAAGTACACACTGTTCCTATACTGTTGGCTGCATATGTTTTGTGGGCGTTGTCTAGTAATGGGTCTACACGCCACAAAACTTTTCCTCAGTCCCTTTCAGGAAAATGCCGAGATACTACCTTAAATTAAGTCACAACTTCCTTCCAAACTATGGCTTTCCCTAATAATCTTATGACGACAAGCTTTACAGTCTAAGGGACTGAGACAGCTGTCAAACATACCACATAATAAGATGTTCACTGTCTTGGGATTGCAGGGTCAAGGCCGATTAAGCCAAAGTGCACTCGCAGAGCTGCTTCAGGATGACATGATCAATGAATATCAGCTCAGGGAATCACCCTAAGAACTGTAATACCAAACATTAACCAATTCCATACAGTTGCGCCTTTCTGCAGAAGCCACTAGTTGCTCAGCTACTCAATGACTTACCATGTTACTAAATGCAAGGGTTTATTACCATTCACTGCCATGTTCACAGCCTGACACTGGCCCTTATCCTGAGCTGGATGCATTCCATATTCATTTCTTTAAGCATACAAATACACAGCATCAGCCTACCTTCACACTCTTCTGAGGAAAAGTGCAACTTGTAAATCCATTTATCCACTGCCCACTATTCTACTGACAATGACACAAAATGGAACACATTCCAGGACCATGGAGCAGGATATCTTCTGGTGATATAGCGGCAGCCAACATGTGGTGAAACATGAAGTAGAGCTCTGCTGATGAAAAGTCATTGAGTGACGAATGTAAGGTACATCTTATGCATAATGAAGGAAGCTTTCCTTGGCAAGAAAAGTGTCAGCAATCAGAGATCACTTGCTCAAGAGTGCCCAAGAATTAGCATCGGTTGCAGTGCATTCAGTCAAGAAAATGGGTATGGTGGGGGGCCATAACTGCACTGAATTTAGGTGCAATTAAAAGCTATTACTGTTATATCATTCTAATATAATAAATCTCTGAATATTAATGATTTTGTGCGATTTTATTAATGAATTATATAATTACACTAAATTTTCAAGTTACTTCACAATCTTCAGTTAATGTTCCCTCCAAGAAAGTGGAGATCTACAGGAAAAAGGAGTGCCTCAAAGACAAACCACTTTATTTTTGGATCTTATGAGAGACTGCTCAGTTTTTAGCTATCTTATACTTACAATGAAAAGATGTGTGCAAGTCTCATGATCCTTTGAATTAATTAATTATACTATTTTATTTCTCCACAAGCAGAATCAACATATCTTTATTTAACTTTCTTTTTACAATCAACGTACACCACAATAAGATATTTTGCCTGCAATGACCAATATAGCATACTTTGTATACATCTGACCAATCCATAACAGTTTAATAGTTATCTCAATATACTCAGTCCAAATGATACATTGATAATATATGATATACATATTGTCTGCAATGACCAATACAGCATACTTTGGGTACATCTGATCAATCCATAACAGTTTAATAGTTATCCCAATATACTCAGTCCAAATGATACACTGATGATATACTGATTTGTAACTAAATGATCAACGAATGTACTCACAGCAGAAGGTGGAAGAGCATATATAACATATAGCAAAAAGCAAATGATGCTGCAGAATTATATTTCTAAGCTGTCTATCAGTTTCAGTGACTATACTTTACTAATATCTAGCTTCCACTGCTGAATTAACATCTTAACTGTAGGAGAATGTCAAGTCATGTCATGTCATATCCCTTTCCAATCAACAAGAAAATGTCTTTTGTACATTCAGCAATCAGAAATAAACAAATACTCATACCAACTGACATTTTGTACCATTGAACTCAGTTCATTTCCCATCAGATGGAAAGGTTAGCAACAGCAAACAACTCTAATATCCTGTAGCACTACAAACATGCAGCATGCAACACAAAGAAAAAATTGTCTTATTTAAACATGGAATACTGCAGCATGCCAGTCACAAATTATTCCTTTAGTCTAAACCCGTCCCCACTGCTCTATGATGTACTATACACACAAACATGTATATACTGATGTGTCTTCAGGTTACTTTGCTTACTGAATGACTTATACACACAATGCAGCAGAATGGTTGCTCCCCACTATGTAACCACTGATCATCCTTCAAATGACTTTGTTTACAGAGTGACTTACCCGGGCCTGGAGTGTGATGACATCTTTTTTTCTTTGTATCTCATGCAATGCCCTTAAATATATAAATCTGATAGATGAGCTGCTGGTTGCAGAAATGTAAATTTTACAGGTAATTTTTCATAATTTTTAAGTTTTTGGCCATTTTCCAGCTTGGGAGTAATTTTTCAGTAAATTTTGGGGATTTGAAGTTTCTTTTATGGCCATTTAACCCATTTTGGGGAAGTTTTATTCATATGTTTTCTGAAATGTGAATAATATAGAAGTGTTCTGCCTTTATTATAAGAGCTCTCTACAAAGGCAGCATGCAGCTGCAGCCCAAGAAGCAGGTGCTACCACAGTATACAATAATACGTTGTAATGGGGAAAGTATTGACAATGTATATCATAAATCATATTAAGATGGCAGCAGGATATGATAACAGTCACTCACACTCTTTTCAAGTTCTGAGAAAAAGAAATTTGCTTAGTTACAAATATTTTTCGCTGGAATCTCTCTCGATTCACTTAACATAGTTATGTAGACTGTAGTTGAGTTTGGAGATGATATATGTTCCAAGTGACAATAACATTTTATATGGTAAGATGTGCGACACAAAACTAGCAGTAGAAAAAATATTCATGGTAAAACATATTGGCTGCGACAAGCATATACGAGCTGTGCAAATTTCAAACAAAAAGAAATCTGTGCAAATGCTAATGCAACAAAGAGTCTTTGTCTGGAGGTGGGAATAAGTCACTGGATTTCTTTTTCAGAAATCTGTGTGATGCTCTGGTGTCCACAAATATTTCATTTGGGGCTGTGAACAAATGAAAAACTGAAACAATCTCTGGAAGTGATTTGTGGTCATTCCAACCAGGATGAATCCACCCTTAGAAAAAAAAACTACCTTTCCAAGTGCTACAACAATATCCTGGAAATCATCAGGAATAAAGTGCATGGGAAGATTTTCATTTTCATTTATGAGACCTGCAATATGAAGACTTGCTACGTGGCAAATATCATCACTGGAACCTTGGAAACTGATGGACCAGGTGAAGTATGTAGAGTGAGGTCCTCGAATTCGTTAATTAGTACAAAATTTGTGAACTCTTATATAGGTTCATGTTTCTACTGTGGACAGACACGATGACATCTTGCTTTTCGTGACTGATGCTGCCCCATATATTTTAAAAGCAGACAAGTCAATAAAGTCATTTCATACAAAATTGGTGCATGATACTTGCCTAGCTCATGCACTGCATAGAGTGACGGAGGAAGTGAGATCAAATTTTTTCAAGTGGATGCTCTTGTATCGAGGATGAAGATTTTCATCAAGGCTCCAGTTCGTAAGATGGGAGTTTAAGCCTATGGTTCCTGGTGTTCCACTGTCCCTGCAACCCATCATCACAAGATGGGAAAAGTGGACTGAACTATTGTGAACAATTTCAGGTAGTGAAAAACACTGTAGATTCAATGAAGACGGAGGATGCGAGGGCAACTGAAGCTGCTCAGGAGCAGTTCTCGTGCAGTGAAATGGAAGGACAGCTGGCTTCCATAACGGCAAATTTCAATTCCTTGACAGAAGAAATCAAATGCTTGCAGGAGAAAAGAGCAATGCTAATTGATTTGCTCGATCTGGTGAAAAAAGTAGCCAATTATTTGGAGAAAGTGTCAGGGAATACTGTTAAAATCATGTCAAGAAAAATGAAAAGTGCAACTCTGAATGAGACAACTTAAATACATTTTAAAAAAATTAGTGGATCTTCCATGACATATTTTTAAGACTTTTTTTTTTAATTTTAAGTAATTCTTCTGTATTTTTCAGGCATTTCATGGGTCACATTTAAATATTTTTAGGTCATCAAAATCCTGGCCCTGCTTATTACGCATGCTGCAGGACAATGGCTCCCCAGTATGTGCGCGCTGATGAGCGTTCAGAAGTTCTTTCTTATTGAATGACTCATTACACACATAGCAGCGGAATGGCTCTGAAATATGTGCCAGGTGATGATCTTCCAGACGCCTTTGCTCACTGAATGACTTGTTACACATTTTGCAGCAAAAAAGATGCTCCCCACTATGCACACGCTGATGTTCCTTCAGACGTCCTTCCTTACCGAATGACCTGTTACACACGCTGCAGCAGAATTGCAAACCATTGTGTATATACTGATGATCATTCAGACTTCTTTTCTTTTTGAATGACTTATTACACATATTGCAGCGGAATGGCTGCACCCTATGTATGAGCTGATGGTTCTCCAGGCGGCTTTGCTCAATGAATGACTTATTACACACACTGCAGCGGAATGGCTGCCCCCTATGTATGTGCTGATGAATCTCCAGACTGCTTTGATCATTGAATGACTTATTACACATTTTGCAGTGAAAAAGACGCTCCCCACTATGCATACGCTGATGTTTCTTCAGACGTTTTTCCTTACCAAATGGCCTATTACACATGTTGCAGTAGAATGGCCAACCAGTATGTATATACTGATGATCATTCAGACTTTTTTTCTTGCTGAATGGCTTATTACACACATTGCAGCGGAATGGTTCCCCAGTATGTATGTGCTGATGATTTTCCAGAAATCTTTGGTCACTGAATGACTTATTACACGTGTCGCAGCAAAATGGCCGCTCTTCGCTATGTATGCCCTGATGTGTCTTTAGATTAGCCTGAAAACCCAATGACATAACATACGTTGCAACAAAATGAATCACCACGCTCATTGCAGGAATATTGTTGCTCCTCACCATATACAGTTCACTCTAAGTACTTTGGAAAATGAGAGGAAATAGCATGGCAAATCTTAGTAGGGAGAGACATAAGTTTGAAGCCCCAGTACAGTGAGATGTTAAATTGGTAGGCGTGAAAAAGGTGACAGAGAGAGGAGCAGGGAAAGAACGCACACACTCTTGTGTGGTGTGTACCTGAGTCCATCAGAATGTATGGTGGTTTCTGAGTGAATAAAAGTTATGCTGCCACTGTTTAACAAATTCTAAAATTAAATAAATATTATGAATTTGTAAGGCTGGACAGGAATCCAGTTAATAGTGGATAGGATCATACAATGAAATAACAAAAAAGTCTGAGTTAAAAATGACACTAAAGAGCCTGCAGTAACATCCTTGAAACAACTAATTACATAAAAGGCTTCAAAGAGAATAGAATAGCATCAGTTAAACAGACATGGCCACCATGAACAAGTCCATGTGAATCATCACCTAGGATTCCATGAAACACTCTTTAACAAGGAAAACGTTTGGCTTTTGTCAGAAAATGGCCACTACTTTTGGATATGTGACATGGTACTGGGCACACCAGACTCTGTAGAAGCAGGTGAGGGAACACCTTGCAACAGTTGCATATGTGTCAGGCAACTGTGCCTCATTTGAAGGCATGTTATGATTTCCTGCTTCCTGATTGAGCCAAATGACTGCCACACCACACTAATATAGCTGAAGCAACTGCAACTTGTTCTGCTGTGTTGGTCCATGTCTTGCCACAATGAGATCAAATGGTAAAGGAACACACCCAGAGGCTGCTCTGCTAACTCCCAAATAACACTGCTTCACTGGATGCTGCATGCAACATTGGTGCAGTGGGTTCTGGTTATCAGTGGTTAATTCAAACTGCAAAGGTGCCACTTGAACCAAATCTCCTTAAAAGGGTGAAACTCCATCCACAACAAATAATGTAAACAAGAGTTAATAAGGACTCTTGTGTTCTGTGAATTCTAATTACTTTTTTCCAGAACATTACCAGAAATGGGAACATGGGTTCATCGGCAAAATTTGTATGCACCTCACAGCAGTCCCTGTACCAGTCACCGTGAAGTGCAGAACCGTGACTTGGTCAAGAAAATTCATGTACAGAGTGGGGCGCAGAAAATCCTTTTTGAAGCGAAAAAAGAAAATTATTGCTGATAGACAAAATTTATGTTTAGCTAATGAAAGAACATACTTTAAAGTTTTATATCATGTAGTTTTAAACAAAATATCTTGAAGGTGGTGGCCACCGTTCTCTATGCACTGATGCAACCGTTTTCTAAAGTTCCCCTCTGCACGTTCCAACATGAGCACCATAATTTAGGCTACTTCCTGCCTAATAACATTCTTCAGCTGAAGCAGGTTTGTGGGCGATGTTTAAAAACCTCTGCCTTGAGGTATCCCCATAAAAAAAATCACAGGGCATTAGATCAGGTGAGTGTGCTGCCCACGGGATGTCACCTTGAAGCGAGATGAACCGTCCGGGGAACTTTGCCCTGAAAACTGTCATGGAAGCTCGGGCTGTGTGGGCCGTAGCACCATCCTGTTGGAACCAGACATTTCCTAGATGCATTTCTTCAAAAACTGGTTCAAAAAAGATCTCAAAATCGACAGTCGAACTGCCTCCACATTTTCTGGTGACGTAACGGACCACTGTCATCCTGATGATTTTTTCACTACACTCCCGGTTGTCCAGAAGTTCTCTACCCACAAACCAATCGATTTCCAGTCAGGAACCAGACCTCTGGGCTTAATTTCGAAGTGAGTACAGAATGCACGCTCCACCGCCATGTAGGAATGGTTCGAAAAATAGGCTTCTACAGCAAACGCACGCTGCTTACTTGTCCACCTCATGTTTCCTACTGAGGGGTATTAGACTGAAACTTCCGTGACTGCTGCCTTCACCAAGCCTATCCCCACTTTTCTACGACCTACCCTCCCTTCACAATGCGTCTTCACAAAAAGGGAAGTTTCTGCGCCCCACTCTGCATATGCAGAAATTTCCTTGGATGTTCATTAATATGTAACTAACTTCATGTGAAGCTGAGCCCTTCTAGAGAAGCTGCCAATTGCCCAACTACTCAAAAACCCTCCAGCATTTCATGGAACCCAAAAGTTCATTAATGTATTCGTAAGAGCCCTCCTCTGGTCCCTATCCTGAGCCAGATCGATCCAGTCAACACCACCCCATCTTATTAGTCTAAGATCTATTTTTACTACTGTCCACCCACCTACGTCTTAGTCTTCCTGGTGGTCTCCTTCCTTCTGGCTTTCGCACCAATATCCTACAAGCGTTCCTCTTCGCCCTCATGCTACATGTCCCGCCCATCTTATCCTCCTTGACTTGATCATTCATACATTATATGGCGAAGAGTAGAAGTTATGAAGTTCCTCTAACCTCCTGTCACTTCATCTCACTTTGGTCCAAATATCCTCCTCAGCATCCTGCTCTCAAACACCCTCCATGTTCCTCCCTTAATGTCAGTGACAAAGTTTTACATCCATACAAAACCTACAGAGTGATAATATAGATATCATAAAGCACAGAAACTCTGACAGTACTAAGGAGGTTGGTCTACAAGTAAACACAAAGAAGACTAAGTATATGTTGCTATCTAGTCATCAAGATCATGACATAAAGATAGGAAAGAGATGTTTTGAAAATGTGGCACAGTTCAGATATTTTGGAACGACTATAACAAATAAAAACCTGATTCAGGAGGAAATTAAGAGGAGACTGAACTTCCCAATTCAGAACCTCCTGTCTTCTAATCTGCTGTCTGACATAACAATTAGAATATACAAAGCTATAATTTTGCCTGTGGTTCTGTATGGGTGTGAAACCTGGTCTCTGTCTTTAAGGGAGGAACACAGACTGAGGGTGTAGAAAAGTACATGTTGAGAAGCTTCATAAGGTGTACTCTTCTCGAAACAAAATTAGAATGATCAAGTCAAGGAGGATGAGATGGGCAGGGCATGTAGCACAAATGAGAGCGAGGACGAATGCATATAGGATATTGGTGGGAAAGCTGGAAGGAAGGAGACCACTGAGAAGACCAAGATAGAGGTGGGTGGACAATATTAAAATGGATCTTAGAGAGATAGGATAGGATAGTATGGATTGGAGTGATCTGGCTTACGATAGGGAACAGCAGAGGGCTATTGTGAGCACAGTAATGAACCTTCTGATTCCATAAATGCTGGGAAGTTCTTGAGCAGCTGCACAATTGGCAACTTCTCAAGAAGGGCTCAGCTCCATGAGTGAGTGAGTGAGTGAGTGAGATCTGACAAATGCAAGAGATCTGATCAGTTGTTGATCTGTTATGTCAAAACCCACACTGATGATCCCTAATAACTTCATCTATATATGGACTTAACCTTGAAAGAAGAATATTGGATACAATTTTGTATGAAGTTGATAGCAGTGATATTCCCTGATAATTTCTACAGTCAGTTTTATCACCCTTCTTGTGAACTGGTACAATAATAGACTCCTTCCACTGATTAGGAAGTTTTTCCTTTTTCCAAACAGAATTAACTTATGGATCTTAGAACATAATATTTCACCTCCAGTCTGAATAACTTCTGCCAGAATTTGATCATTTCCTAGCATTTTATACCTTTTCAAATTTGTAATAGCACTTTCAACCTCAAAAGGGCTAGGATCAGGTACTAACGGCTCAGCTGTGTGGATTTCTGTCTGCCTAACATCACTGATCCTACATACATTCAATAACTGAGAAAAGTAGTTCTTCCACCTAATCAAAATGATGTGAGATTCTGAAAGCTGGTCACCATTCTCATCCTTCAGTAAATTACATACAAAGCACAACAGACCACTGTAGGTCGCAGCGCAAGGGCCAAGAAGGCCCACCCCTTGTACATACATTCATTCACATTCAGGTTACGTAGAGGTTGATAAGCTCTTTAAATTAATTTCTTCCTCTATACACATCTATAAAATGTTCTTGTTCTTACTGTTGGTTGCAAGCTCATCAATTTTTCTTTCAGATAACCCCTCTTTCTATTCATGAAGTGCCCGCTGACTTTATGTCTTATATTGTTCAGCTTACACACATTCATTTCACTTGGATCCTGTAACCACTACAATTTGGTTTGTTTCCTTTGACCTACTTCATTGAACCATGACTTATGCTTCTTCAGTTCAATATAATTTAGAATCCTTTTGGTTGAAATTTTTATATTCTTTATAACAATATCACAGACTCTCTGTCTTAAGTTTTCCAAAGCTGCGAACCTATTTGAGATTTCAACGTGGTACTGCTCTTTACCTTCTACCTCGTTTAATTTCTTGAGACTGAACCTCTCAATATGAACTATGTGCTTTGTTTGTATACTCACTGACAGTCTCTCCCTAACTTCCACCACCACCAGATAGTGGTCAGTATCACAATCTGCTGTCCTAAACGATAAAACATGAAGTAGAATTGAATGCCGTCTCCTGGCTATCAAAATATGGTCGATCTGGTTGTGCTTCTTTCCATCAGGAGATTTCCAAGTAAATTTATGAATGTTATGATGTGAGAACATCATACTTTTGGCAGTCAGATTTTTGGATGTGTGCAAATTTTACCACTCTAACTCCATTATAACTGTTAGTTTCATGCAAACTCTCATTCCGAACTGCTGGCTTGAAAATGTCTTCCCCCATCTACTTTGGCATTGAAATCTCCTAACAACATTTTCATATGGTATTTAGGGAATTTATCAAATATATCTTCTAGTTCTTTATAAAAGCTGCCCTTATATCATAAATTTTATCCTCTGTTGGGGCATGACTATTCAGAAGGTAGATATCTCATCAGCGATCCCTTAGTAATACGTGTACGTATGACCTCTATCACTAACAAACTCTATGCTCTTAAATGCTGATATGATTCTCTTATGTATGAAACATCTGTACTTACATGAATATCATTCCTCTTTCCACAGAAAAATGTATATTCACCTTCTGGTTCAGTGCCACCTCTGTCCATCTACCCTCCTGTACCCCCACGAAATATAACTTATATTTTGATATATCTTCTGCCACTGTCCTGAGTAAACCTGCCCTATACATACTTCTCACATTCCATGTCCCAAATCTCAGGTCCATTTTCTTTAGCTTAGATCATTAACCAAAGAATCTGTCCAGGTCCAAGGCCCTTTGTGACATTTTGTAACAACCTGATTTTTTACAGCGAGTTGTCAGCCACACAACCAACCCATAACATGGAGGACCACCCCTTGTCAGCTGTCTGCAACTTCTTATTCAAAATATTCACAACTACCCTCCACATCTGGAGGCCATCTCCTCCATCTGCAACTGGAGGACACAGCATGCCGTGGTGACAAGAACTCACCTAAAATGCTGATGTTCATTAATAGCCCTTTTTTATGTGTTTCATTACATCCACTGTATATTCCATTTGACCATAATGATGTCTATGTTTTCTAATGTGTTGCCAATGCCCTTTCTTTACTATTTATTGACTTATATTCCTCTCACACATTCTCTGTATCTAATTTTTAGTCATTCTCCTTTCTGATAGAAAATGACAAAAATCTGTCACATCAACCAGTCACCTGATGGCAAGTAGAGATGGAACTCCAACAGTGTCAGGTATAACAACAATTTCCAGTCATATATCGATACGTAACTGGACATGGTGGCAGGGCTTACATGGACGAATGTCAATACATGATAGACAAAGTTGTATTCTGTATTGCCACTGTATTCTGTGCCAATGCATTCATGAATATTTTGTCTGCCTTCTTCTGCCATCCAGAAGTCATAATTTGAACTTCTTAAGGAATGAATGCCATTTATATATTACAGTGTGTCACGTGTTTGTACACACACGTTTGACCGAACCTCCGCCCTCTGGGTTTAATAAAACTGATATATAATCCCTTGTCTGATGCAAATGAAGAATCTATTAGTGACCTGTTAAATGAAGAACTGAATATTGACGTTGATGATGAGATTAATTTGGAATTTGAAGAAGAAACTGCTAGTGAAGAATCGAGAAACAAAATATCAGGAAGTGAAAGTGAGAGTTAAACAAGTGTTGTCGGGAGTTGGCGAGTGGGAAGGCGCGACAATGGGCAACAAGGAACCCAAAGACTGCATATTCACTAAAAATGCAGGGCCACAATTTAACCTTATGCCTGATGTAGAACCCATGGATTATTTTAGCTTATATTGCAATGATGAACTACTGAATAATATTGTTATTGAGGCAAACCGGTACATGAGACACAAAACTGCCGAACTTCAGCTAAGTCCGTCGTGCATTTGGAGTAGGTGGTCTGATGTGTCTGTTCCTGTAGTGAAGTGGCTTTTAGGTCTAATTATAAATATGGGCCTAATTCCATTACCTGTCATAAAAGACTACTGGTCTAGTGAGGGGAAACCACAGATACAATTTTTTGGTGACTTAACCCTTTCGCGCGGTCATTTAAATTCCGCTGCCGTGTCTCTCCGGCGATAATATATTCAGCCGACCATTTAAATTTTGCTCGAAAATGATTTATGCATCATTGTTCTTAAATTATATGAGATAGGAACTTGAAACTTTCACTAAAATGACCTTAAAAGTTGGTTTTATAACCTTACCTTATAATATGAGCGCCCGGTATCTTGGCAATGGAAGCAGGTGGTTTAGAATTTGAGCAGTGTATGGTACGCCTTGAAGCATGAAACTTTCACTAAAATGATCTTAGAAGATGGTTTTTATAACCTTACCTTATAATACGAGCGCCCGGTATTTCGGCAATGGTAGCAGGTGGCTTAGAATTTGAGCAGTGTATGGTATACCTTGAAGCGTTCTTCTATACACAACGATGACTCACATTCACTCCACCAATACTGCGTATCTTTCATTTGGCCCTTTTTTCCGTAAACCACACATCTTCTGTGCGGTCTTGCCTTCTTCCCCATGGGGAGAATATGAGGAAATGTCTTTCCGTGAGTCGTTTAGCTTGCCAGATCAGCTGCAGTAAATTCAACCTTTATGTTATCATAACAAGGGGTTGGTGCTATGAGTTTCATATTCCATCCATTCTGGCTGCAGCAGATGTCATAGGGGTGACCACAGAATTCATGAAGTTATTCTAAGAACTGGCTGGTATGTAGTGCACGAAAGCAGATCTTAGCTGGCTCAAAAAAATATTTCTGGTCATCCCTTGAAACGACCACCAAGGTCAGTACGATAAAATGGAGTCAACTGGAGCGATAATACATGAAGGAATGAGTTCTTTTCCCCCACACACACACCCCGTCACAGGGGGGGGGGTGACCACAGTGTTTTCTAAGAATTCTGAGTGTGTTAGTGTGGCCAGCTCAGGGCAATATGATATTATAAACACAGCACATATCACGTCTCTGCTGTTTATAACTTCATAGGAAAGAAAACACGCCATTCATAACAGTTTGAATGAGGAAATCTCTTCCAGAAGCAACACGATTTTACTGCAAGAGAGGCATATGTAACGATGACTTAACGCAGCAAAACTCATGTTTCATTATATATTATTCTTCTGACAACAGGCCAGCGAAAAATCTATCTACAGCAAAACCATCAATTATTATGGGCGTTATAACATAGGTGTGCAGCTGGACGATACATAGACATTGAACCCCCGCAGACGATTTAAATGCCTGATGAAACATACACGCCAAACCACGCTGAACGGCTAATTATCCTCACGAGGCTAAGTGGANCAAAGACAATTTATCACGGATATTCTGGTTGATGCGTGTGGGGAAATGATACCACCAAAGAAAGCAATCAAGGCAATGAACGAGAAAAAAAAAATACATCATGTGATAGAACATATAGAGAACCAGTATCAGAAAAGTTTTGTGCCAAGTAAAAACAATGAAATAGATGGATCAACAGTTCCGTTCAATCGCAAAATAATTTACAAAATTTATAATCAGCCCCCAAAATAAAACAAACAGCCAGACAGATGGAGATGAGAAAGGCAACTGACTTTCTGCATATTTGTGATATCTGCCTAATAGTAGATAAACAGAGACATTCACCTCACCTCACATTTAACCTTTGTTTCCTGAAATGTTATTGGCACAGGATCCACTTCCTCTTGCGGATCTGAGTCTTCCTCAACTTTTATATTCAAGACCTGGTTTGGTCCATGACTTTCTGGGTACATCTGAACATATGGACCCAGTACAACATCCTCTGAATTTGTATAGTTCTGTAAAATCATATTTTTATCAGTCATGGTTGCACAGCACTTTACGTGAAACAATGTATGGTCTCCCTGCTGTAGCTGTTTCTCATCACATCTTGCCCCTAACAGCTGCTCTGTACGGGTTTCTTCTCTACAGACTTCATAAAC